CACTTAGGCTGTTTCCAGATCTTAGCTATGGTGAATTGTGCTGCTATGAACATAGGGGTGCATATATCCTTTCTGATTGGTGTTTCTGGTTTCTTGGGATATATTCCTAGAAGTGGGATCTCAGGGTCAAATGGGAGTTCCATTTGTAGTTTTTTGAGGAAACTCAATACTGTGAAGACAGTCTCTTTACTACATGGTGTGTTTCTTGGCTCCTTTGTTAAAAATTATCAGCCCATATACATGTGGTTTTATATCTGGACTCTCAATTATGTTTCATAGATATGTGTGTCTTTTTGCCATTACCTTGCTGTTTTAGTCTTCCTGTAGCATCCGCCATTCACTGTAGTAGAAGTGGCTGAAGTATGCTTTAAGAGGTATATCTGCATCTTTGCCAAAGTGCAATCTGGCCTGCCATTGGTAAGTTGGCCAGGGTAGCCAACCATAACAGAGAGACAGTTTGTCTTTTGGTACATGCAGGTCTGACAGTACTGAGTTGGTATTTTTTTCTGGCTAAATATAGAAACTAATATATACTTAGCTCTAGTATTTTGCTCTTTATTTGCAATTTTGGATGTGTTTTGGTGAGGTTGTATTGAGAGGTCAATGACTTAGCTTCAAAAAAGTTAGAGAATATTTTGTTATCTTCACATAATAATTCCTACTGAGTTATAACAACATTTTAGCTGGTACTACTATTTGCACTATTGAGTCCCGTAGCTTTCTACTTTCTGCGTTAGAGATGATTTCTTTTTATTTCCCACAGACTCCAATCTTAAAGCTTCAAATGCCTCCTTATTCTAGAGTTCTTACTAAATTTTGTGACCAAATGTACATTTACTGTATTAGTACCTTTCATAATTCTTAGTAGTTCATTGCTAATGTCTTTAATTGCATGTTTCATTTCCAGGATTTGATTTGTTCTTTTTTAAAACTTCAATCTCTTTGGAGTAGTTCATTGCTAATGTCCTTAATTGCATGTTTCATTTCCAGGATTAGATTTGTTCTTTTTTAAAACTTCAATCTCTTTGGTAAAATACTCATTTTGTTCATTAATTTGTTTTCTGAGTGCCTT